GTCTCTTGGAGGAGAGACGAAACGTTTCATTAGAGAAGAACCCGTCCAGAAGACCTATACAATTTTTTTATTTTTCGCTCATAAAAAAGAAGACAGAAAGAAATCTAGAATCAAAGATGACTCTAGAACAAATAATAAAAAAAATCCACGTTAGTTTTTTTTATTCTGAACTGCATACAACAAAAACATCCGGTCCTCACAGATGTCTACCTTCACAAATGTGAATAAAAATGTAAAACAAAAAGCTGTTCTGATTCTATGTTTCTAAGAAGGTTTCCTATTGGTTCTTAATCCTCTTTAAGCATTGTTATTGAAATGAAACATGCTGAAAAATGCTGACTTGTGTCCTGAAGCTCATCTAGTTTACTCACGCTCAGGGATTTGGTCTTGTGAAAAGCAACAGTTGTTCCACTTTCCTCAGTCTCTGTTTATTCCACCAAAGTCTGCAGTGTAAAATGAATTGGCACGCTTCCCTCTCGAAGAAGAGGGGGCTTCAGGAATGGATTACCTAATGGGTTTTACGCTGCTGCACCGTTCTTACTGGTGTCATAAAGTGAAAATGGTACATTTGACACTTTCAAAGCTAAGGCCAGTCAGAAGAGTCATGGTCTTTGCTCATTCAGGTGATGACTTGTGTAGAAGAGACAGTCACAGCTTTGATTTTAAACAGCTTATAAAAAAGCTGCAGAAAAGTGATGAAATTTGAGAGTTGAAGTCGAATATATATTATTTGCTGCATTTATTCATTAGTTTATCTGGAAGGCTCAGTTACAAGGAGTCAGAGAAATGAGTTTTCCTCCAAAAATAAAGTTGAACATCTTTGCTTTCATCAGTGGTGGGCACCAGGCTGCCAAAGTGCAAATCTGCTAATTGTGGACCTAAAGATTTTATTTGCACTTTAGCGGTCTTATTAATTTTTATCATTCATTAGCAGATTTGCGCTTTCTAAAATTAAAGTACAGTACTGCTAATAACTAATTATCTAGCAGTCATCATTATGTTGAACAGCAGAAGGTATGACTGTCAATGAATCACAACACATGTGATCTATCCAACAGCACCCCTCCCAGATAAACACTCTTATTGTGAAGGTATACATCCTGCTGACTGTTGCTTTGGGTCACGCTTCTGATTTCCCACAATGCTTTGTGTCTGCTTACGTAGCAGGAAGGTAACAGTAAAAACAGTGAACGTTTGTAATTCATACTAAAATTGTGTATGTATTGATTTATTTTACTTTACAATCAGAGCTCCTTTAAAAAAATAAAGTTTAAACACTGGAGCTAAATACTTATAATTTAAAATCCAAGCTCTTATTTTGAAGGGAAGATAGTTTCCTGTACTCCGTGCTTTTGTTTCTTGTCACAAATCAAATCCGTCATGTACCCAGAATGCATCGCTTCAGTTTTCCAATAAACAGTTTTTAAATTACTTTATTGATGCTTCTTTAATGAAAAATCTACAACAAACAAAAGAAAAAGACAAAGAAGCAGCCGAACTAGCAATCCTCAAAAACTTTTTAAAGAATCAGCCGAACTAGCAACCCTCAACAACTTTTTAATTTTTACACCAGGAGCTAAAGGTCTGTTTCAGGAAATCACATCCCCAGCTATCAGTGGTTGTAGGATTGTAGTTGTACAAGGGTTCATACACCACTAGTTGGCAGTGTTGTGCATATTGTACATGAATTGTCAGCTAATAAGTGTCAAATTGAACTTACGCTTTAAAATTAGCTTCTGCTAGTTTTTCTATGGCAAAAGCGCTATCGAAGTTGTGGACCTAAATATTGTCACAAGTACTTTTCAAATTACGGAGCTAATTTTTGGATTAGCGCTGCCCACCACAGCATTCATGTATAGTTGAGCTTTTGTTGACATAAAATTGTCTGATAAACATGAACACATGAGCATTCCTTCAGAAAATGCTTATCATTAGTGTTTAACGTCAGTTTTAAAGATCTTCATGTGTTGAGTAATTGATTGAAATTGTTTTAGTCAAACCTTAAAAACACTATTAGGTGTCATCTCATGTAATCCTGATGTTGCACTCAGTGTGTTGTGAAGGAATCTACAACCACATCAAACTCTGTGGGTCTGTGCTTCATAATATATTTTGCTAACAGTCAGATTTGTCATCAAATACCTAAAAGCAACATTTTGAACAAAGATTTTGCGTTATTATTTAGCACTCAGAATGCGTAGGAGACCCCTCTCAACTCTGAAAACCAGGCTCAGTAAGCTCACCCTAAGCCCAGTAAAACTGATTGAGTTGTAGACATTTTTGTGTTTTTACAATCAGTTGCCTCTGGCAGCCATCTTGCATCAAGTTGACTTCAAAAGCTAATCAATTGTAGATGTCCATCTGTGGATTATTTTCTGGGAGTTTCATTAAAATGTGTCCAGAGGTTCATCAGATATTTTGGTAACAGACGGACACAGGATAAAACATTAACTGCCTTTCACTTTGGGTGGCCAGTGATAATAATCAGACAGCCTGCAGCTCTTTTTTAGTGCGACCAAAATAAAACAACACACTTTCTTTACAAAAGGTTAAATGTCCTGTATGGCACACACGTCTGGTATTTAACTGTAGTAAATCTGTTATCAGGGCAGTGCTCCTCCAGCTAGATACAGATTTCAATATTCTTCAGCTTATGAAGCCCCCAATCCACCCCCATGTCCTTGTGCACCACATTCAGGATGAGATTTGTGAAGTAATGTTTTAAAGAGTACAGTCACRTCCTGACACGTGGTCCACATTTCAGCAGACAGGGACCCCCTCTGGCAGCACATTAGGGAAGATGTCCTTGTGATGTGGGATCCACACAAGTCCCTGGGTGCTTGAGATGGCCCCAAGAAATCAACTTCCAGAAGCTGAACTAAAGGACTCACAAGTGGTTACAAGTTCTATTAAATAGAC